AAGGCTTATAATAATGTTAAAGAACTAAGGGACTAGAACTATGGCTCAGCGGTAAGGCCTACTTGCGGCTCTTGCATAGGACCTGAACCCTTAAGGGAAGCTCACAACTGCCAAAACCACCAGTGCCAGGCATCTGATGCGTTCCTCTGGTCTCTTCAAACACCAAGCATAGATGTAGAGTCAAACTCTGTAGGCAGCCCTCTAACCTTTACCAGATGAACACTCCGATTGCAGATGTAGGCCACTATGTTAGATTTTGATACTCGCACCACACACGTGCGCAGATACTTTTTGTTTTCAAAACAGCGTGGTATGTAGCCCAAGCTGACCTCAATATCCAGTCTAAGATGGCCTTGAACTACTAAGCCTCCTGCTTCCACTTCTGTTTGATTGCATTATACAGGTGTTTTCTTCCTTCCTTCCTTCCTTCCTTCCTTTCTTCCTTCCTTTCCTTCTTTCTTTCATTCTTTCTTTCAATATAGAATAGTTTATTCAGGGCATGGGAAGGGGAGTTGAGGGAATACAGACAGAGAGAGGCAGAAAGAGTGGTAGAGGCAGGCCATGAGCACGTGGTGGTGGGGAGGGGAATAGGGAGAGAGACCATAAGGAGCTAGAGCAAAAGGAGGCCATTGAGAGTACAGGTGTTTTCTTTCACACACAATTTAAATTACTATTTTTTTTTTAGAGCTCTTGGGTTTGTTTTGTTTGTTTTTCAGACAGGTTTTGTGTAGTCCAGGCTTGCCTCAGACTTCCCATGCAGCTGATGATGATCTTGAACTTCTGATTCTCTGGCTTCCAACTCCGGAGTTCCAGCCTCATAATGCCATGCACCATTGATCCAGCGCTAGCAATCAGTCCTAGAGCTTGCTGCATGCCAGACAAGCAACTGAACTAACTCGCCAGTTAGATCCAAGCTCTTTTATCTAAATTTACTAGATCTTTGTCGATAAATTTTCACAGTCACTGTCAGTTACCTAAATCTAAGTCCGAAAGATTTATTTTAGCCAGGAAAGGTGGAGGCAGAGGCAGGTGGATCTCTGTTTGAGGACAGCCTGGTCTGCATAGTGAGTTCTAGACCAGCCAGGGCTACACAGTCAGACACTACCTCAAACAAGCATTTAAGCAAACAAACTTTACATTTACTACACCTCTCTTTTTGAGATCAGTTACATGGCCCTGGCTGGCCTGGGATTTACCATGTACACCAGAGGCTTTGAACTTGTACTAAGTCATGTTCCTTTTTTGCCTTTTGAGAGCTGAAAATGTGGGCATGGATGACTTCTTTCTGTTGTCTTTTTTTTTTTGTTTTGTTTTTTCGAGACAGGGTTTCTCTGTATAGCCCTAGCTGTCCTGGAACTCACTCGGTAGACCAGGCTAGCCTCAAACTCAGAAATCCACCTGCCTCTGCCTCCCAAGTGCTGGGATTAAAGGCGTGCGCTACAACCGCCTGGCCTGTTATCGTTTTTTGAGACAGGGTTTCTCTGTGTGGTCCAGTGACTCTCCTGGAACTCAGAGATCTATCTGTCTGCCTCTGTTTCCTGAGTACTGGGATTAAAGGCATTCAGCAACCACCCAGCTACTTTCTGCTATTTTTAATTCTTCATTTTTATTTATTTATTTTATATGTGTGTGGGTATGTTCATGTCACGGTGCACAAGTAGAAACCATAGGACTCCTTCCACCATGTGGGTCCCGGGGACTGAATTCAGGTCTTACAGGCTTTGTGGTAAATAATAATACCTACTGAGCCTTCTCACCAGTCCAAGTTTTTGTTTGTTTGGTTTGGTTTTTTGTTTAAGATTTATTTATTTTATGTATAGGAGTATACTATCACTCTCTTCAGACACACCAGAAGAGGCCACCAGATCCCATAACAGATGGTTGTGAGCCACCATGTGGTTGCTGGGACTTGAACTCAGGACCTCTGGAAGAGTAGTCAGTGCTCTTAACCACTGAGCCATCTCTGCAGCCCCAAAGTTGTTTTTTAAAACAATAAAAACACTAGGTTGAAGTGAGGACAGGAGAGAGGAGTGTAAAAGGCTGGCAAAGGCCAGGCTATATATGTAGGTTCTTGAAGACTCCAGGAAGGAGTTAGAAAGCACTCTAAATACAATAGGAAGTCCCCCGAGCGACCTATGACTTGTTAGCTCTTCTTTGGCAGCCATAAGGAGAACAGATGTAGAGGACACAAGGTTAGAAGCAGAGACATGTGATATGATTCTTGCCTCTCACTAGAGATGACAAGTCAAGGGGATAGGTAAGGCCATGCTGGGGAGGAGAAATCATGCATTGCATGAACGTCTCTGTTTGTTTGCTCTTGGTGCTGAAGATCAGGCACAGTCTGTTTCCTGTTATCTACAGGGCAGTACTTTCAGCGTACTAGATTTGTTTAAGTGTCCATGAGTATATGTTAAAGGCTATTTGATGTACTAAGGTGGAGTTTAAGGGAGCATCTCCTTAAATGCTCTGGGGATTTGAATCAATGTGATCCTTCCTCACGCAAGTAAAAAGCCAGGCATGGTGTCCCACGCCTATAACTGCAGTGCTAGTGGGTAGAGACAGGCACATCCCTGCAGCTACCTGCCCAGCCAGCCTCAAAAAGAAAATGTGAAGGGCTCTGGAGGAATGACTGATATCTAGAAATTGCCCTCTGGCCTCCACACTCACTGGCACACATGTGAACATGCAAAACCCCAAACATTATCCCCCCCTCTCACGTATGACATGTATAAAAATGTCTCCCATTACTTTGAATGTTAACTAAACTAACAAATGTGAAAAAAATTATACAGTATTAATACATTGGCTTTGGCCTGGCAGTGGTGGCGCACGCCTTTAATCCCAGCACTTGGGAGGCAGAGACAGGCGGATTTCTGAGTTCGAGGCCAGCATGGTCTACAGAGTGAGTTCCAGGACAGCCAGGGCTACACAGAGAAACCCTGTCTCAAAAAACCTAGGGAAAAAAAAAAAAACATTGGTTTTGTTTTAAGACAGGGTCTCTCTATTCAGATATAGATGTCCTAGTACTGTGTAGACCAAGCTAGGCTTGAACTCTCAGAGATTCGTCTGCCTCTGCCTCCTGAATACTAGAACTAAAATTGTGATCTAATAAAGGAAGAGGCAGCACACAACTTTAATCTCAGCACTTGGTTGGCAGTGGCAATCAGATCTATGTGAGTTTGAGACCAGCCTGGTCTACAAAGCAAGATTCAGGACAACTTGAACTATACAGAGCAACCAAAATAAAAAAATAAATAAAATAAAAAATAAAAATAAAGAAGAAAAGAAACTATGAGCCATCATTCCAGGCTGTGTTTATAGTATTGTATAAATGACTCACTTGAGTGGATACACATCTTTCATCCTACTGTGGACATTTTGATACATTTTGAGTAACACATACATTTTGGATGTGAAGAGATTCCAGCTGTGGACCCAGTTGCTTAGACAGGGAAACAGGATTTTTCTTTTATTTACAAGTGAGCAAAGCCCACACAAATAACCAAGATCTCATTGGCTATACTAGAAATGCAATGGTAATGTAATATACGGGCTTCTGTCTCGGTTTTGTTTCCAAGAGCCTCCTTTGTGGTAGGCAAGTGCTTAACTCTCTTCTCACTTAACTCACTTACCCCTGTTTTATTTCCAGAGAGGGTCTCACTAAGTTGCCCAGACTGGCCTTGAAGTCACTTTGTAGCCCAGGCTGTCATCAACTGGCCAGGATCACAGGTCTGCACCGTCAAGCTTGTCCTACCCACAAAGACTGTTCCTGGGAGGAAGAATCACTGTTTTGTTATAATGCAATTTTTTTTTCACTTAAAACTCAACTTCCTGCCGGGCAGTGGTGGCACACACCTTTAATCCCATCACTTGGGAGGCAGAGGCAGGCAGATTTCTGAGTTTGAGACCAGCCTGGTCTACAGAGTGAGTTCCAGGACAGCCAGGGCTACACAGAGAAAACCTGTCTCGAAAAACCAAAAAAAAAAAACCAAAAAACCAAAAACAAACAAACAAACAAACAAAACCCTCAACTTCCTGGTTTCCTGCAGAGTGAAACTCCAAATTCTCCATCGATGTTTAGATGTAATCTTTTAGGTCTCTATTCTGGTTGCCCTTTCCAGGCACCTAAATGGCAGGCCTATGTCCTTCCTGTTGCAGCGCCCAACAGTTCCCCCAAGGTAGTGAGATGGGAGGCCAAGCACTGATACTACTCACTTCCAAGTTTCTAATTGGCCTATCCATTCATACCTCCATTCATCATTGTCTTCTTTGTCCGGCTGATTCCTTTGTGGCATTTATTGATTAGACATCTATTGGCGATTATTCACCCTTTATCTAAAAGACAGTCTAATCATTCCCTAGAAGAGAGAGGGCTGGGGTGTCGACCTGGCTGTTCAAAGTTACCTTCCCCTTCACTGTCTGGCACATAGTAAGCAGCTAGTAGGGACCTGGTTTAGGTCATTGAGTCCAAGTAAGAGGTAGCTGAGAGTCGGGAAAGTGCTCCCAATATAAGAAAGTGACTCCAGAAGTTCTTCTGCTCCGACTTGGTTTTCCTCTAGGCTAAAGAATGCCTTCCAATCCATGGTACTGGGGGGTTGGAAGATTTTTAAAGCAAGGTGCAGAACCTTGTTCAAATCCTGGTCTGCAGGAACTCCACCTCTCCTTTAGGCGGCGCTGCAGTCCGTGACCGCACCAAAACATTCTTCTGAAGCATCATGGAACTTGTAGTCTTTGTGTGCTTATACCCAGAGCGCTTGCGCTCACGAGGCACGCGCCCCGTACCATCAGGATTCCGGGTCCTTGTGAGGGGTAGCCCATGCGACAACGTTCCATTCGAATACATTTTTCCCTTTCGCCTAGGACGAGCTTCATCTGGAAAATAATCGACTCTGGACAGGATATCGAGGTGCCCGGGAAAGCAGCCGGAATAAGCCCTCCCCGTCCCGGAAGTGAGCGGCTTCTAGCGCAGTGCATTGTGGGGGGCGTAGTCCTTCTTTCCAGGCGGTCCTTCGCAGCGTCCCCCGGGCCGACTCTGAAGCGCAGGCGGGCGGCCGGGTGGGTAGCGCGGCGCGGGCGGTCCGCAAGCATATTCTGGGCACGGGGCCTCCGCCCGGGACGACTGCGCCGGGCGGCAATAGTGAGAGGCCTGTGAGAGCCTCGCGCGGCGCCTCCCGTCGAGGAGCTGAGGCGGGGGTCAGACCCGGCCGTCGAAGAGCTCAAGAGGCCGGTGGGCCGGGCCGCGCGTCGCAGCCATGCCTGGCTTTACGTGCTGCGTACCGGGCTGCTACAACAACTCACACCGGGACAAGGCGCTGCACTTCTACACGTTTCCCAAGGACGCTGAGCTACGGCGCCTTTGGCTCAAGAACGTGTCCCGTGCTGGCGTCAGTGGGTGCTTCTCCACCTTCCAGCCCACCACGGGCCACCGTCTCTGCAGCGTTCACTTCCAGGGCGGCCGCAAGACCTACACGGTGCGCGTTCCCACCATTTTCCCGCTGCGTGGCGTCAATGAGCGCAAAGTAGCTCGGAGACCTGCGGGAGCTGCGGCAGCCCGCCGTAGGCAGCAGCAACAACAACAACAGCAGCAACAACAGCAGCAACAACAGCAGCAGCAGCAGCAGGCGTCTCCGTCCTCCTCCACTGCCCAGACCACCCAGTTGCAGCCGAACCTGGTGTCTGCCTCTGCGGCCGTGCTTCTTACCCTTCAGGCCGCTGTAGACAGCAGCCAGGCCCCGGGATCCGTGGTTCCTGCGCCCACGACTCCCTCGGGAGATGATGTGAAGCCCATCGACCTTACAGTGCAAGTAGAGTTTGCAGCTGCTGAAGGGGCAGCCGCCGCTGCCGCCGCATCAGAGCTAGAGGCTGCTACAGCTGGGCTGGAGGCCGCTGAGTGCACTCTGGGCCCTCAGCTGGTGGTGGTAGGGGAAGAGGGCTTCCCTGATACTGGCTCCGACCACTCATACTCCTTGTCGTCGGGTACCACGGAGGAGGAGCTCCTGCGCAAGCTGAACGAGCAGCGGGACATCTTGGCCCTGATGGAAGTGAAGATGAAAGAGATGAAGGGTAGCATCCGCCACCTGCGTCTTACCGAGGCCAAGCTCCGTGAAGAACTTCGAGAGAAGGATCGCCTGCTTGCCATGGCTGTCATCCGTAAGAAGCACGGAATGTGAATGGTTCCCCGCCCCAGCGCCCCAGAAATCTGCAGAATTCGTGACTCCTTCCAGCCCAAGGAATCCTCAGGCAGATGTTGAACTCCCCAATATTCTGGTTGACAGTGCTGAGGTTTAGGACAGATGACTCCAGTTGGTCAGTTGGCACCTTCATTTGTTTCCCTCCTGACGTAGGAGTTGGGGACTTCAGAATCTGGTGACACCAGCAGTCATGACTTTGTCTCTCACTCCCAGTTTATGTTGCAGATTCTGGTTATACAAAGGCTTCAGAACCATTGAACTTGAAACTTACCCTGGAGGGGTGCAGATGGAACTCTTAGGGACTGTAGGTTTGAGAAAACCACATCTTAAGGTTGGCCAGCAATCAGAGACAGCTTTGCTGTGTGTAGTGATAAGAGATCTCAGTAACATCATTCCTCCTTTTCATGCTACCCGTTTCAGGTGCAGCCTGTGATTCTGATGGGGACTAGTTGATCTGTGCCTCTGCCTCGTAGTACCTCTCTATCCAGAAGGTCATTTATGAGAGGGCTCTGGGTGATTTGCTGATGGAGATCCAGCTTACCAGGGACTTAGGTTTATCTCGTTATGTTTGCTACTGGTTACAAATTCTATTTTCTGTACAATTAGACTGAAGTTTTCACTGTGTTTGGCAAAACAAATTAAACAAAAAAAGTAAGGTTTTTATTTGGGTTTCGACATTTTATTTTTATTAAAGCTAAGTGTCCTTGAAATATGGGGATATAGATCTTGGCCTATTTGAAAGAACAGGCTAACCCAAAAAGTAGAGATGCTTTAAACAACTGGACCCGGTTTCTCCATGAAGCACATAGATCTTAATAAAGTTCCTTGTTCAGGTCATGTCACCCCAAAGAGTTTGGAAGCTGCATGAAAGGTCTTGGTTTGTCCATGATTATTTCACTGAATTGTTGTGTATGTGTACATACATAAATGTGTGTAGTATGGGGGTGCTTGGCAGAGGTGCTATACAGCTTTTTTTTTTTTTTTTTTTGGAGACAGGGTCTCCTTGGGGTTGGTGACTTAGCTGATTGGTAGAGCACTTGCCTAGCAAGCACAAAGCCCTGGGTTCAACCCTCAGTTCTGGAAAAGAGGGGTGGGGGTGTCTTCTCAATTGCTTGGATCTCACCCAGAGATAGGCTGTTAGGCCAGCCAGTGAGCCTCAGGGAATCTGTGTGTGTGTGTGTGTGTATGTGTGTGTGTGTGTGTGTGCCTCCCCAGTGCTAGGATTACACTTACACGTTTGCATCACCGTTCCTAATTTTTGTTGTTTGTTTGTTTTTATTACATGGGTTTATTACAGTGGGTGTGCTTGTAAGGCAAGCGCTTTCCCAACTGAACTGTCTTTCCATCCCTTCCCTTGAGTTTTTAAACAAAAGAGTGTGGCTGAAAAGTAAGTGGGGATTGTTTTGGTTCTCTAGATTCTTGATAGTTTTAATTTCCTTTTATGGGGAGGGGGTTGGGGGAGGGTTGAAACAGGGTCTCTCTCTGTAGCCCTGGGTAGTCTGGAACTCAGTTTGTAGACCAGGCTGGCATCAAACTCAGAGATTTACCTGTCTCTGACTGCCATTAAATCTCTGACTGAGATTAAAAGTGTGCACCTCCATGCTGGGCTTAATTTCATTCTTGAATTCTCATCTACAGTTGAAGTTTGTTTACCATTTCACGTCTTGGGACATGTAGTGCCTGGAACATATGTGGATGTAACTACTTAATAAACCAGTTTAGTTCAGAACTAGACGCAGCCTTGGCTCCTTCAGGCACCAAGGACCCTTGTTATGAATACATTCGCTTCAGTACACCTTCATTGTGAAAGACGTAGATGAGTAGAGGGCGTTAAGGAATTGGTTTGTAATCCCTACACTGGTTTTGGCTGCCTCTGTCTTTAGATTGGATATTGGAAAGGTAAGATGGCATTTTTATCTATAGTTGTAAGTAATTTAGCTCGAAGCTCATGGGGAGATGTGAATGACTTGTTTTGTTTTTCCAGACTGGGTTTCTGTGTGTAGCTCTTGCTGTCCTGGAACTTAATTTGTAGCCTAGGCTGGCCTCAAACCCAATCTGCCTGTCTCTGCTTCCCAGTGCGGGGATTAAAGATGTGCACCACCACTGCCTGATGTGAATGACTTAAACTATTTATGTTACTTTGAAGTGTGTGTGTGTGTGTGTGTGCGTGTGTGTGTGTGTGTGTGTGTGTGTGTGTGTGTAGCCTGAGGAAATGCCCAATGACTACAAGCTGAAGTGTACCCAAAACACCAGGGTCTACTTCCCTTCTTGTCCTTTGGTTCTGAGTTGGGAAATGGGTCTTGAGAAAGCTTCAGTGTGTGTTGTATAGGTGCCCAGTTTGGGGAGAAGCTAAGTTGGTCTTTTAGGGTTAGCTTTGGCTTGTCATCAGGTGGTGAAAGCACAGCAGTGCATTTCCAGGCCACCTGCCAAACTCTTACATGTCAATACTCTTCCCTTGGAGTGGGGAGCTTCCACATCCTGGGCCATGCAGTGCATCCTTGAGCTCCTGTTCTTTGAAAGGACAGCTGCTGTCACCTGGTTCTTTTGAACCATTTAGCAGCATTTCCTGGATCCTTCCTCCTGTCTCATAACTTGCCTGTGTTTTGTTTTCTTGGTGGTGGTGAGGCTCCAGATGCGTCACCAACAGGGTAACATGGAGTTCTTAGTGACTGGGTAATAAAACCAAGCAAAGTGGTCTGATAGACAAGGGACTTAATCAAGAAGCTTAGCCTAGTTTTATCAGTCATTCCCAGGAGGTGGGGTGAGGCTAAAAGAGCAAAACAAAAGTATTAAAGATTTTTTTCTGGCCAGGAAGATAGAGGGTTAGGGTTGTTTGCAGCCATTTTCCTTTACCGTGGTTCTTTGGGTTGGTAGCAGAGCCATTTGCCCAGCACAGGCCTGACTGAGAGGCGTTACTTCAAATATTTGTGTCACCCAGGAAACTGAAAAGGATATTGAAAGTAAAGGGGAAGGGGTGGGAAGATTGTTTACAGTCTACATTGAGCCAGTTATTTTTCTTTCAGTAAAAATTAAAGTTGGAGAGTGAGTTGGCTCAGTAGGTAAAGTGACTTGCTCCTAAACCTGAGAATCTGATTTCTAGGTCCCAATGGTGGAAGAACTGACTCCAGTAAGCTTCCTCTGTCCTCCACACCCATGTCATGGCTCATCCCTCCTCAACCCAAAGAAAATATAAAAAATCAAACAAAAATAGTTGCTCTGTCTGCTGCAACAGAACAAGTAAACTGAGAAATGTAAAGAAAAAGAAACCTTCACGACTCTTGTTTTGAAAACACCTTTGTACACGTGAGGTTAACCTCTCCAACTATGGCCCACCTTAGTCGAGCATTTGAGTCTCAATAAAAGCCTAATTAGCTTCTAACTAACTTTGGGGTAAATAGCTCCCTCTGAGACACAGCTAACTCAATGAACAAGAGAAGAGTGGCTTTCGCCCCCGCGGGTTGCAGCTACAACGCGAGCAGCGTAGTATCCAGAGCCCCTAATAAGTGAGTAGGCTTTGGACTAAGATACAGCCTAGGGAGAGGCTGCTGGGACAAGCAAGCCAGCTCCAAGCTAGACCAAGCTCCCACGGAGGCGGGGTCAAGCACCATCCGCTACACAAACCTAGGCGGGGCCAGGCCAGCTGGGACGTCGCTACAACCCAAGACCTGATCCTTGTCTGGCGCCAACTCTGTGTTCCAGAGGCTTCCGCTAGACCACAATTCTCAGGGGCTCATCCGGACAGCCTCCCTCCCTAACTTAGCCTCTCCTCCCGCGCAGCGAGCCGTGGCTGCGCCTCCGCGAATGGCGTTCTGGGAAATGTAGTTCTATCCAAATTCACCACAACTCATAAGGAGCGTATTGAGACTACGTTTCCCGGAATGCAGCGGGACGGGAGAGGGAAGGCAAGGGGGAAGGGACAGTCGGTCGCAGACCGCGCTGGGTTGCCGCCGCCGCTGCCGCCATCGTGCCAGCCCCACGGGTGAGTGTTGGGGCCAGCGCGCCGGGGCGGGGGCTGGGCCGCAGGAGCCGCGCTCTAGGCCGCCGGGAGCTTCTGCTTCGAGGCCCTGGGAGGCCCCTCCCTTCTTCACACCCCCACGGCGGCCCGAAGAGGCACGGGGCCCGCACCATGTGTCGCGCGCGGCTCCGCCTACCGCGGATTGTCTGCGGCCGCGGCCCGGGGAATGCTGAGAGCCTGACGGACGCCTGTCCGGGCCGCCTTGTGTTCTGGCTGATGGCTAGATCTTTTTCTCTTGTCCGGAGGATCAGGATAGCTCTCAGGGCCCCGCCCTGTGTGGCCTTGCCTGGCTTGCTCGAATCCTGCAACCTCTGCAGGCAGGTTGGCGGGCCGATCCCAGACCCACGTCCCACCACCCGCCGGCGAAGATCCGGGGATGGGCAACGCCACCCAGCTCGCTCCAGAGCCAGCATGGGTAAGGGTTGCCCTCCTGCCGCTGCTGGGGCTTGGGACCATTGCCCGGTTCCAAACCATAGCCCGGCTAGGATGTAGGTGAACGCTTCTCTGCTTGATTGCCTGCTGGGAGTGCACGAAACTTAACCTCTACCTCGATGGAACCTGTGCTGCAGTGTCCAGCATGGAGGACAAGGGCAGGGAATCTGGGGTGGGAGGGGATGCCTCGTGGGACTTTACCTCTAGCTAGTCCTGGAAAGTCTGGACCTAGTGTCTTTGGAAAGGCAGCTCCCGTTTGGTAGGCCCAGCCTCCACCCTTTTTTATCCATGACTAGGCTCCAGCTCTGGGGTGGGTTGCCTGACTTTGTTACAATGGAGAAAAGATGCCGAAGAAGTGAAATTTGTGTGAGCCTCCAAGGTTTTTGTTAGATTTCTCAGGCAGGGCCCAATTCTAATATACGTTAGAACCTCCCAGAGTCAGCATAGCATACCCTGACAGGAAGATGACTCCTTAAGAATAAAATGATAAGGTAGGATTTAATTCATGAAGAAATGGACTCCAAGCTTGAGGTCTTTGAGCCCAGAGAAGGCAGAAGGGACCTTGTGGCTAGAACTCTGGTTTAGACTGTATTTGCCTTTTGAAGTTGTTTGCGGATCTGGAACTAGAAGTCCCAGAATGTCTGCTTTCTCTTCACATGTGCTGGGGCTGCCTGTGAACAATCAAGAAGCTGGTTGGGTCTTGAAAAAGTGTCTTAGCAATGGCAACACAGATCATCCATTACATTGCGTTTCTGGAGAAGAGGAGTATTTAGCCAGTTACTATTAGGCAGGCTTTGAGGAGGCACTTCTGTTTGAGTGAAGATTAAGGAACTAGTGCTCCCAGGACTTGGCGGAAAGCATCTCTTGTCAAGGTTGGATTCTTTGGTCCATTAGCTGGTTTCTGTGTCACAGTTCTTAAAAGGCCTAAGAGATCCTGAAGACCCAGGCAAACAGAGTGCCCAGTCTCTTAGGATGACTGACTTAGGGCCAGAATGCTGAAAACCTCTGCTTTTAGCACCCACTGCTCCCTGAATATTTCCTCAGATGCTGTTTTTCTGGTTTTCTTTTTTTTTTTTTTTTTTGGTTTTTTGAGACAGGGTTTCTCAGAGTGTGTAGCCCTGGCTGTCAAAGTGTGTAGCCCTGGCTGTCAGAGTGTGTAGCCCTGGCTGTCTCTGGTTTTCACTTGAAGATTTTTTTTTTTTCCAGTACAGTATCTGCCCAGTCATTCTCCTTAGTCAAAGGCAACAAGCAAAGACTGCTCAGATCTCACCAGTGCTTACCTTCTATGGACTCAGCTTCTCAATCCATATTGTAGCTGGTAAGCACATGGAAGTAAGGCTTCTCTGGAGAGACTCCCCGTGTGTTTCTCTAAGCAGCCAGGGAAGGACTATCCACAGAACATAGAGGGTCTAAGAAGTGGGATCACTTGGAACTAAAAGCAGTTGATTTCCAGACTTTCTTGGAGATAGGGATGTAATTCAGTCGGTAGATTTTTTGTTTGATCACTAACACTGAATAAATTGGGTGTGGTGGCACAAGCTTGTAGTCCCATAGTCCCAGCAGCATAGAGGTAGGAACATGAGGATCAGAAGTTATATCTTCAGTTGCATGGGAAATTGAAGGCCAGCTTGGGATACATGAGACTGTCTCAAAGAACTAAAACAAACTCTCCAGCTTGTCTGAATTTTAGATGAGTTATGTTTATGGCTGTAGATCAGCTTGCATATTTCAAGCTTCTGGGTAGCTTGTGCAAAGGCCTTTCTCTCTCTCTCTCTCTCTCTCTCTCTCTCTCTTTCTCTTTCTGTGTCTCTTTCTCTTTCTCCTTTTCTGTTTTTTTCTTTTTGTAGTGCTAAGAATCAAACCTTAACTTCAAACACTACACTATGTATACTTTAGCACCTTCAGGATCTAAAAGATAATGTTCTTCTCCAAGGTGAGCCAGAAATGGAAGGAATTTGGGTCTCCTCCTGATTCCTTAAAAGTTCTCAGAAACGTCTATCTGGAATTAGCCATTGCTAGGCACCCTGACCCCAGGAAGCCCTAGATCTTCCTGGAATTGGCAGGCCATTAGTTCTGAGAGACAAAGGAGAACCCTAAGGTTCTTCAGAATCTCTCTGTGCCCTCTTCTGTCATGTAGGAAGACATGGGAAGTGGGACCTGGCATGGGACAATTGAGTATAGCTGCGCAAGGAAGTGACAAATGACTTTTTGTTTGTTTTAGCTAAGAAAGAAAATTATTTTTTAATTATATTGTTCATTTAAAAATGTATTTTGTGTGTGGGTATGGATGTGCCACAGCTTGGGTGTGGAGTTCATTTAAAAATGTATTTTGTGTGTGGGTATGGATGTGCCACAGCTTGGGTGTGGAAATCAGAGGACAACTTGTAAAAGTCAATTCTTGTTACCATATGGGTCCCAGGGATCAAACTCAGTTAATTAGGTAAAACAACAGGGTCTGTGGTCCCCCCCTCCCCCCAGACAGGGTTTCTCTGTGTAGCCCTGGCTGTCCTGGAACTCACTCTGTAGACCAGGCTGGCCTCGAACTCAGAAATCCACCTGCCTCTGCCTCCCAAGTGCTGGGACTAAAGGCATGCGCCACCACTGCCTGGCACAGCAGGGACTTTTACCTGCTGAACTATCTCATTAGCCCCAGCTTTTATTTTGACACGGTATTGCTATGTAATTCAGAGTAGTTCTGAACTTGCCATATAGCCTAGGCTGGGCTTGAACTCTTGTCTCAGCCACCCAAACTACTGGGATTATTGTACCACCACATTTGGCCTTTTAATATAAAATTTGGTCCATTATTCCTACAATCCCACTTGTGTCTGATCCATGTCTTTTCTGTTCTGCTGTCTTTGCAGTTGGTATAGTGAGATGATGAATGATAAAGGGAGATGCAGAATTCCCGATTTTTGGAATCAGAAGGTACCTTTTATCAAAAAACGAAAATGGTGCCGGGCGGTGGTGCCGCACGCCTTTAATCCCAGCACTTGGGAGGCAGAGGCAGGCAGATTTCTGAGTTTGAGGACAGCCTGGTCTACAGAGTGAGTTCCAGGACAGCCAGGGCTACACAGAGAAACCCTCTCTCGAAAAACCCCCCCCCAAAAAAAATGTAAATGATGACATATACCTGTAATTCTAGCACCTGTGAGACTGAAGGAGTGATTGTGCATTTCAGACCAGCCTGGGATGCTTAATAGGACCCTGCTCTCAAAAACAGCATTGATGACAACAAAAACCGTTCAGGCTCTCAACCCCTTTGGGGCTGAATTGACCCTTTTACAGGGTCACCTAAGACCATCAGAAAATATATCACAGTAGCAAAATTAGAATTGTGAAGTAACAATGAAAATTTTATGGTTGGGGGTCACCCACAACATGGGGGACCTTATTAAAAAGGTCTCAGCAGTAGGAATGTTGAGAACCACTGCTTCAGAGTAAGAGAGATAGCTAAGTGGGTAAGAATGTTTGCAGTCCAAGAATGAGGACATAAGCCTCAGCACCCATGTAAAAGCCTGGCCAAACTCTTAGAACTCCGGCATGGCTAGAAGCTGACAGGAGCTTTGCTGGTCTTGCTGGCTGTCAGCCTGGCTCCAAGTTCAGTGAGAGTGACTTGAATAAAGCCAAGAGCAGGACTTCTGATGGTTTCTTTTGACCTTTAGGCACACCTCTGCACGTACCATGCAAGTAAATGTATCACTTGGTGTGAGGCAAGAAGATGGTTCAAGGTCAAGCCAAGCGATGGTTCACGTCTTGAATCTCAGCACTTGGGCAAAGGCACAGGGATCTCTAGTGTGAGGCTAGCCTGGTCTATGGTTCAAGTTTAGGACAGCCAGGGCTACACAGAGAAATCTTGTCTCAAAAAAACAAATTTAAAAATAAGTTCAAGGATAGTCGGCACTATATAGACCCGACTCTCATTAGACCATGTCTCAAAGCAAGCTTCAGGGTCCCTGAGTAAGGTATTAGCATTGTATTTGACATGAGCAAGGTTTGCTTTTTAAAAGTTTTTTCCCTCTGAATATTCATATTTCTTTTCCACAAACATTCTTTGATCCTTTCTCTATGTTTGGCTCTGGGATGAGGCTACAGCGGGGAAAACCAACATAAATCCTGTCTATCTCTGATGCTAGAGAAAGGTACCGGTACTAAAGGTGATGGAGTAATGTTGACATGGTGTCCTGAGGGCTTAGTTGACGAGAACTGCAAGGACTCTTAGCTCTGTGCCGAGGAGGGAGCTTTTAAAGGATTAGAGAGCATTGAGGGCAAAGCCTTAGTGGGTCCCCCTGCCTTCCCAGTGACTGGCAAAAACCATAGGCATCTGGGGGAGGGGAGGGATGCTCGCAGAATGCCTAGGAGTGTCACCAACATAGTCTGACCTCTCTCCTTACCTGAAACATGGGTATGTAACATCTCAACTGAGACTCCCTTGTGATCAGCTTGATCAAGTGACAATCAGTTATTCCTTGAAATCCTGTCCTGTTCCTCCACTTTCCACCTCTGGAGTGGCTAGTATTATGTTACAGGCC